GTGCCAGCCTGCGGGGTCCGTGCCAGCCTGTGGCAGGACCCTGGCTGCCGTCTGTGCCCGGAGCAGCAGTGTGCCCAGGGATGTCTGAGCTGCGGCACAGGATCCTCTCTGCCCCCACAGCCCTTCGAGGGGCTGATGGCTGCGCCGGGGTTCCAGCTCATCCTCGTGGTCAGAGGCCGGGGCCAATCCCACCCTCCTGGCACAGCCGGTCGTGGCTGTGGGGCCATTGCAGGCACCGGCAGTGCTCTGGCTCCCCGTCACTGCCTCATGCTGGAGGTATGCCGCTGCCCCGGAACCTGGTTAAAGATGTTTTTTCCTTCAAGCCTGCTGCTTTCTGCAGCACCAGCCCTTGGGCCCACCGGGCTCACAGCTCCCTCTCCAAGGAGATGTGAGAGGGACCTTGCTCTTTGCAAAGGTCCCCAAAGCTGGTTGTGCTTCACTCCAGCTCTGCCGGGAGCTGCCAGGACCTCCCCACTCTGCCACATCCCAGCTCTTCCCCATGTTTGTCCAGCGCAGGCTGTGGGGGCTTTGCTCCTTGGCTCCCCATGTCCTCCCTTCGCTGCCACGCAGATAAGCCCGAGAGCCGGCTGGAAACGGCTCCATCCTCTCTTGCTGCTCCAGGGCCCTTCGGTGCCAACGCAGCCTCCCCTCCCCTGCAGCCTCCCAGCTCTTCCATGGGTGACCTCGGGCTCAGCCCTGGCAGCCAGCGCTCCCTTCCCAGCACAATGCAGCAATCGTGCGGCCCATTGTCCACAGTCTCCTCTGGCAGCGGGTGGTCAGGTCCGGCACAGAGAAAGCTGCAGCTGGTGGAGACAAGCTCTCGGCGTGGCTGGGGCAGGCTCGGCTCTCAGCTCTGCTGCCAGAGGATGGGCTGGAAAAGGTGCCCTCGTTAACCAGCTGGTGACACTGCCAGCACAGGGAGCTGGGCATGTGGGCGGTGACTCATGCATCGTTTAAATCTCTGATTAAGGACTGATTAGTGATGACTAGCTGGGGGTTAGGTCCCTGAGGTTGTGCACCTGCCTGCAGGACAAGAGCAGTGTTAGCAGCAGCCCTGCTCCCACCAGTGCTGTGCTGCTCCCACACACACAGAGGCTGAGCCCATGCGAGACCAAGACACCCCTGGACTGTGGCGGAGCTTGGGGGGGTGAGGAGCTACAGCAGGACGGGAGGAGCTACAGCAGGACGGGAGGAGCTACAGCAGGACGGGAGGAGCTACAGCAGGATGGGAGGCAGCACATAGGGCCCTTGTGCAAGCTGCGTTACACCTCACCGAGCTGTTTCCCCAGCCAAGAAAGCTTTCCTAAACGCTTTAGTTGGCTTAACAAGCCAGTAAGATGTCCCCAGCAGCCCCCACACATCATGTTTAAGGCCC